GGATACTGTAGGTAATAAGAGCATATCACTATCAGACACTTCAGCAAACAGCAACAATCCTTGAAAGTTCAGTAGACTAATTTCAGATAATGTCATTGCTCCGAAACCCAGGAAAAGCTACTAAGGTAAGATAATTTCTATTTACTTAAATGTTAAAGATCACATATACTCTAGGGGGGTACAAATACATAAATCACTAACTGGCATCGCTATAAATGAAACCCCGTCATTAAAACTACTCACTTCGGTCTTTAATTAACTTAAATCGACCTTTTAGACAACAGTGCACAATTCTCACCCGCGAACGAAATTTCAACCAATCAGAGCAGGGCGTCTCTGTGACGTCACTTGAGGAATAGATATGAGGGCCGATGCAGAATTCATCTACATTTCAGGGGGTAAATTATCTTGTTTACAGGTTTGTATAAACCTGAAATTGTGACAACTGTTGTGGAAAATGAAAGCTATATGTTCTCACAATCTACTGTCATTTAATTTTGTCTCCTGCTTTGCCTAGTTTCCAAGTTACAACTTGTTTTCATTGACAATTCTGTCAAAATCGCTTGGTGTCGTTAGGCCTTATTTGTATAATGACTGATCCAAATTGATCCCATTTCTGTGTTTTTTTTACTTTGATATTTAATCATGTCATGTAAAAATCTGTTTGTATTCTCAAAACAGTGTCGGCCCATAAGTTTTCACATGCAATACAGCAATTAATACTCCCTTGTTGTAACTCGTGTTAGGTGGTATAAACCTACACATGTTATTTGTCATCATTCACTTGATGGTCAGTTAATGAATTTATAACAGGTATAAATAGTGGTAACCCGACAAAGGTTCCCATTTGGCATTTCTTGTGTCTGGAGTAAATACTCAACATTATAAACATCGATCAAAGGATTAACCGATAACACGCTGATTGATTAATTACTTTTATTTTACACAGCGGATTTGTCAAAAGGTAGAGTTTATGTATGTAGATTTACTAATCTATACTGAATACACTCTGTCGTGGCGGTGTCTGCGTAAATACAACGTCCTTCTTTCAAAGGTTTAACCGCCAATACATTGATTGATTGCCCATTATTGGCTAACTAAATTACTGTTTTTAAAGAAAGGCGAACATTATGCAATTAGTTGCCAGGTGTGCTATCTTGTGTGACCAATGAGACTATACACCAATGTGAAATACCTGAAAAGATTTATCACTTTGTATATAAGTATCAGCAGATCGTCTGCTTTTTATTTAGTTTCAAAATGCATACAAGTTTAAACTAATTAGGATTATAAGAGCAAATATAAAGACGTACATTGACTAGTATCTACATACTGGTGAGTGGATGTTAACCATGTGAATGTAGCAAGAAATTTATCGCGCAGTATTGTGACTTCGACCCCCACCTCGCTTCCGTGGAAGAAATCGTTATGTTATAAGTTGTGTCATGCAAAATCCTTTTGGTTATGATTCAAATACATATTTAACTACGAGTAGAAAGTAGTTTTGATTTTCTAACTTGATGAAAACAAACTATAATCTCATTAATTCTAACAGACTTTAGCCCGTCACTTTACGATTTTCAAAAATGGCGGCGCCCTGTCGCGAACATATGCCAGTCTGGGGATAAATGCTATTTAGGTTTGTTTTCACCGAGTTACAAAATCAAAACTACTTTCTACTGGTAGTAAAATATGTATTTGATTGATGGCCAATAAGATTTTGCATGACATAGCTTATAACATAACAATTCTCGCGTGGTGAGTGGGTGTCAATATAATACTACTTACAATATTATTGTTACCGACCACAACCTCACTTCCAAGGAAGAAATCGTTATGTTACAAGTTGTGTCATGGAAAATCTTTATGGTCATCAATCATATACATATTTTACTACAACTAGTAAGTAAGTTTTGATTCTTTAACTTCCGTGAAGCGATCGGAACACAAGTAAGATATCGTTTCAGGCTTCCACAGCGCTAAACAAGCACTCACAAATATAACCCATTTAGCACGAACTTCGCGGGGTCCTGTGGAAATCTGTGCATGGTGACACCATCGCCCGACCCTAGGAGCAATTGGCGACAAAGCAGCGATTCGGCATGTCGTCGTTGATGTCGAGAAATCATCAAAATGATGGAGTGCTACACACTTTCTATACAACTAACTGAAAATCGTTCCTCATATGACGTCACTGCAGTGCTCTGGCGACAGAGTTACGTAACCTGTCTGGGGTTTCGTTGGCGGGCGAAAGTGAAGCAGGCGACTTTTTGGCAACTTTTAATCGCTCGGTATTAATTAACCACAAGTTTTTTAAGAATGAATTTGGTGTTCCACATAAGTCTAACCACAAATCTTTCATATGTAATAGTTAAAAGAGTAACAAAAAACAAAGTTTATTTGTTCTTTAACAGAATACTAGTATAAGGCCTGTTGACTTTCATCAGAGACCATATAACTTATTACATGTATATGGTCTCTGTTTTCATCAAATCATAACATTTTTTGATAAATATACTGTTACTGCAACAGCATAAATGACACTAGTTATTTGTGATTGAAAATAATTCACAGAACAAAGAGTTACTGTTGAAAACAATAGTTCATCATCCATCTGTATTTGAGGTATATTTTAGCAAGAAATTGTCGAGAAAAATTCCAGGGCATTTTGACCCAAGTTGCTGGGGCATTTTGTAGCTGGGGCAATTTGATTTGACATAAATAATTATGAAAATTTTCCACATCACTGAAAGACAGTAATTAATGATTGATTATTTACACTTTGCTAATGCATTGATAGAATCTTGGTGCCTTTACCTGTGACCATTTGGGAGAGAAAAATACTAATTATATTATTTATAACACTTAACATATGAAAATATATGAAAATGTTTAAGTTGTAACCAGCTGTGAAACATTAAGCACTGACAAATCTATCATCAGTATTCACCAAGGATTTTAATTCATCACAAAAATTTATATGTAATTCCAACTGTTCTGAAGTGACATATGGCATACATGAGCGCACACTTTATTAAATCACCCCTAATTTGGTGTGAAACAACAATTGATTTTATATTTTAGTATATAACATAATACATATGCATCAGTTGCTAACATTTTGTCACAATAAGAAAAGCTTGAATGTTATTTTGAAACACAAATTTTGTCATGCCCATTGCCATGCACCTGTTGTTGAGGCCGATGTTTATAAACGTTGTTGCATTGGACAAAGTGAAAAAACAAACAAACCAGCATCAACATGCCTCACAATTATATGTTTCTTATCTGCATATTCAGTGTAGAATAAAGTGGTTGTCCTAATATCAACAACTGTTCAAATAAGAGATACTGAGAAACTTGCATGTGGAGTGTTGATCGACTACTCTTTCCGGGTCACGGGAGCATACAAGGTCAAACTGGTTCTGTGATATGCCAATTATATAGTCAAAAACACAATGTTTTTCCTATGAACTATGATTGATCATTCTAAATAGTGATTTGTGTTAAATTTGGGTTTACCAGACGAAATATCTCCAAATTTACTGCTCATATTCAATAACAGATTTTTACCAGACAACCCCTGTCTGTGACACCACATCCAGTGACTTTGCACTTACTACAAAACAAGTTAGATTTCACGATCTAATTTTTCGTTTTTCTTTCGTTATATTAAACTGAAAATGATACATGAAACACTTGCAGAATGAAAAATTCTTCAACTTTCACAAGGGCTTAAGAAAGTCCTGTAAACTGTATTCTTATGAAAATATTAATATTTTATGTGGAGGTTGGACGAAACTTGCCATGTTTGTTTTACATACATATAACACAGCGCAACACTGGTTTTATGTGGGCTAGTGTCGAAAATAATGAACCATAACAACTGAAATTAAGACTCATGAGTATTCATAAATCATGTATTTTATTCTGCAATTTTCATGACATGACAAGTTGGAATAAACGTAGTAGTGTCATTTGAATAAAATATGTGATCACATCGAAAATACAATTTGTTTACGACGAATGTTTTTAATTTTATTTTTTCAGAATTGTTTTTTAATTTGCCATCGTTCTGATATTTGCAAATACAAGTATACGAATTTAAAGTCAGATAATAATGAGATATCGGAAATAAGAATATTGAAATCAGTTTGTGCTAATTTAACAATTTATACACGTTCCTAATATGAAACGCATTCTACGATCAATCAAGTAATTCAGGTAAATTCAGGGACATTTACATTATTTATGTTTGCTTTGGTCTTACCCTCTGTGTGTTTGAAAATATCTGCACATCTGGACATTTTATTTAAATGTTCATTTTTGTATCTAGTATTAATGTGCCAAATATTTTTTCAGTTGTCCCTTATTTAATGACACACCAATTGCCTTATGCTGAAATTAATTCTGCAGGCTAAATGTTAACTTCAACTGATTCGTGACCTCAGCTCTATGCACAGGACCACACACCACCAGTAATATAAGTAGAATGTAAACTAGGCCAAGTTGGGGTCAAATTTAAAAATTAAACAAATTGTACAAACAGTACAGGCTGCAGGTAAAATCAAATGTTGTTGAGTCAAAATTTGACTTCATTAAGATATGAGGTGAGGTGAAATGGGGTCCAATGTTGTACTTAAAAATACTTTGCTCATATGATGATGTGCATGTGAGTGTATGTGTGGCTGCTTGTACTAGCCTAGAATTCAGCTTGTTTTATAGTGCTAGCTCACTGAGACACCATGCTACAGTTAAGCATGAATACCCCACTCAGACACATTATATTGACTCCGAGCCGATCAGTCCTTGTTGTACCCATTAATGTTGAGTGCCAGGCAGGGACCAACAAGTACCATATTTTAACATCTTTTGGTACAACTCGGATAGGGATTGAACCAACGACCCATTAAGACATGAACAGACTGCAGCTACAATCATAAATCATTAAGTTAAAGTTGACTTCATAATTACAGGTACAGACTGCAGTCAAAGTTTACCTCGTAGTAGTTACTGTCTCTGTTTAGAGCCTTGGACATGCCAAAGTCACTGATCTTGGCAAATCTTTCTGTTACAAGAAGTACATTCCTTGCTGCTAGGTCTCTGTGAACAAATTTTCTGGCTTCAAGGTAGGTCATGCCTTCAGCTACTTGCTTCATGAGTAACACCACCTCAGACTGTTTCAGGTCCCTGCAGAAAGATCAAGTCATATTTATAATGTTTGAACTATGGTCAAAGAAATGATGCACTACGTGCGACATCTCCATGTTACATTATGAATGATGGGGGCTTTTTATATAGGATGACATGTAACCAGAAAAAAGCCTACTGTTAGAATTCATCAGCACATATTTTACAAACATGCTACACTATCTTATGACATAAGTTTTGAAACTTTGTTGCAAAACACACAGATGAAATACTGCCCTGTCATGTCAACCAGCTGCTGGTGTCACTGAGTGTGAATAAGCTTCTCTCAGTGATCTATCATCTCTTCATACATTGACATTGAGTAAGCCCAGTGATGCTTAGTTTTCAATATGTAGTTATCTGAATATAGCACTTATAGGTCAGTTCCAACTGAATTCAATGGGCTAAAAGGATTATTTAGTAGATATACATTTACACTCAGGAGCAGGGGCTAATTTATGAAAAGTTGAAATGAAATTGTAGTTATGGTAAGGTGGATATGGTTTCATCTTGAAAAACATTGTTGGACATCGATGTCATAAGACTATCTACCAACTACATCTTTTGCAATAAATCATTTGGACTTTCAAAGCTTTTTCAAATTAATGCTATTCCACACCATCATGTCTTTTGGAAGATTATTTAATGGATTTAATGGGAGTGTGCCAAAAGTCGTTGGCTAATGTCATGAAACACCATGTTTTACCATAACCTTTGTAACTTTAAGCTAACCCATTTGACCTTTTCCATTCATTAATGCATGACCAGATAAATTTACCCATAACAATGTGGAATATTGGCTCAGTAGGTTAGCTGCGATCTGAACGATCTGAAAGTGGCAAGTTCATGTTTGATGCATTCTCATGAAACTGCTAGCCTGTCTCACTGATATACTACTCACACTTTGCTTAGGATCATAAAAATTCCCAACTTTACTTAAACATAGATTTATAATTTGAAATTGTATCCATTTAAAACTGGATAAATAATAATATAGTGACCCTTCTTAAGGCAAACAGCCACTTTAATCAAACCTTAAAGCACTTGATACATGAGTAACCATAAAAATGGTTTTCATGGCACCAATCAACCATTTTGCAAATCATGGAATGAGTCATTTACAAGTACACAACACCTGTCAATAGCAGGTAAAGGATCCACAAGATGAAATGACATACTGAAACCTAGGATCCATACTTACAATAAGCTCAGCATGTTTAAACCAAATTAGACCCTACATCATAGTTTTCTGTTGAATCAATGATTTCATCCTGTGTGAATAGTATATGTCTATCTCATCCTCATGGTTGGTCTGGTCCAGACTCGGTTATTTACAGACTGCAGCCATATAGCTGGTATATGCTGAGTGTGACGTTAAACAACAAACAAACACTTATACTCAACACTTTTCATGAAGAGGTTCCTAAAAAGTTGAATCCCTGGTATGTGTATCATGCTTCTTAAAATGTGACTTCAACATGCTACACTTTACCTGTAACTGCTTCTAGCAACTCTAGTTGAGTTGAGTTTAGTTGAGTTGGGCTTTACGTCACATATGCATTATTCCAGCCATATAGTGACGAGATCAAGTTTCCATTCATTACCATTTTAAGTCCAAGGTCCAAAAGGGTTATATTTAAAAAATATATATATATATACAGTACATTTTTATTTAAAAACAGAAAATGTCATAGCACTAAATACAAAAGCAAGCAACTTTCTCTTTACAAAGTTACAAATTATGATACAGGTCAACTTCCCTCAGGTAGTTAACAAATGAGATGTCCGCTCATAATGTGAAGCCCTTGCAGTCGAAAAGTCCACACAGTCAAGCAGAATATGCTTGATGGTGAACACTTCATCGCTAGAGACACATCTTGCAACTCTAAATGTGACTTCTACATGCTACACTTTACCTGTAACTCCTTCTAGCAACTCTAAATGTGACATTAAGATGTATTACAAAGAAGGGACCACCCCCCAAAAAATAATAATAATGTATTGGATATGTGCATACTTTTCTTTCTAACAGTTGAGGCCAACATAGCTGTGGAGGTCCAATGGTTATAGCTACTTTCACCACTACTGGTAACATGATTCTATAACCTTATCCATCATGGAATATTAAACGTCAACAACCAGTCCTGATTATCCACTGATTCAGACTTGTTTGTAGCCTGACACCTCACAGCAGTCTATCCAGCCATGTTACTACTGAAGAGGAACAATCTTTTTTGGATAGACAACTTCTTTATTGAAATAGATATGACGTTTCTGTCTAGACACCATTATCAAGAAAGTGATGTTATCAGTTGCTTTATATCACGTGATGTTATCAATTGCAATAAAGAAGTTGTCTATCCATAAACAATTGTTCCTCTTCATCATACCAGCTTTGAAATGCCACACAAAGAAGTCATGTCACTATTGTCTTAAACAAACCAATTATGTGGTGGAGGTTATTTTTGAATTCTGTGTGCCGTATACAAGTGTATAAGAATGTCTAACATGCAACACTGCAACATAGCCACAACTGAAAATTATAACTATAAATTGTATATTTATGATACTTATCCTATCTCACAGAGCCTACTCTCTCTTTTAATCGACTGTTGAGTGGAAAGGAACTGTAAACAAAGTTTCTGGCCTCTCTTGAACTTCTCGCACGGACACGCCCCACTGCTCCCATTCCTGGACAGCCTGGCAGCCTCCTGAGAAGCATGCAGCATGCTCTCCGGTTGGTCATGTGACCCCTCTGTTTAGTCATTCTCTGCTTGGAGCAATTGTCATAATCTGTGAAGCGGGGTTGGTCGGGTGGGAATCCATCACGTGAGATGGGATAAGTATTATAGATATACATTTTATAGATAAAATTTTCAAATTTTAGAACTTATCCTATGTCACGGACTGTACTTATCCCAGGGATGGACGGTGGGTCGCAGATTGTCGTGTCTGCGTGGTGGATGACAGCCATGTCATCCTGATTGACAGCATAACCTCTGGTGATTGGTTGCTTCCTCCAAACTCCTTGGCTTACAAGGCATAAAAACTCCCACGGAGTGGGCACTTTTGTACTAGACAAAAGGATGGAACTCTGAAAGTAGACTCCGCCTCATCCCGATTTATCAGAAGGCCCCAGTGAATTAAAGTCTTGAGACTAGAATCTGGCCAGCCCCTGCTTCAAAACCGTCTCCCACGATCACACATTTAGGTGAAAGGTAAGCTTGCAGTTTAATGTTCAGCTCCCAGACGATATTGACTGACCCTTGCTCCTTTGCAGAAGCTTAATCAGGGATGTGCCTGATGTCAATCACCTCTGCTTTGGACTGCACGATTGGCCTGTCAGCCGACAGGTAAGTCACGCGAGTGACTGTACTGCAACGCCACAGTGTAGAACAAGGTGAAGAAGATCTGATGCCCAAGGGAAGGTAAAACGAAGATTAAATGGAGTTACATACATCTTTATTCACTATTTACAAGGTAACACGATCCCTACAAGGTAACACGATCTCCACAAGCGGAGGATGTCCCTCTGTATGTGTTGTCGAGCCAATGACAGTTGCTGCACCAGTCCCAAGGGACCAAACTGATGGAGTCAAACAACATTGGTGACTGATAGGTTGCGGACATAGTGGGATGCGAAGACTGTCTCTGATTTCCAGAAACATCCCTCCATGATGGAAGTGAAGAGCCATAGTCGACAAAAAAGCCAGGGTCTCATTAGGGTTCGACGCAGCTGGAGGGGGAAGACTGGTGAACATGTAGGCTGGCAGGAAGGTAAATCACATCCTGAAGGAGAGTGTCGTACAGGAGACTTCTGCTGATGATGGTGTAGAGAGAGGGATGAATAGGCGCTTATGCAACCTACGATGGTTTTGTTATGCAGCAATGTACATCTTCAATGCTCTGATGGGATAGAGCGTGAGGTCTTTGATGTCACTGGGCCAAGGATGGTGGTCAACGGTGGTAGGGTAAACAGTCTATCTGGTTGTCCTGGCAGTTGGTTCTTCGCTATGAAGTCCCAGGGGTAAAACCAAAAGAGTTTCTACTTGCCCTGAGTTTTTTTATATTTTATACCTTTTTATATATAAATTTGAACAAAAAATAACAACGACATTGGTTGTGAATGGTTACAAAACTATGATTTATTAAGATTTGACTGGAATGGTACTGCACCCAACATACTCACTAACTGTCATTTTGTATAGCCCTCAGATGTCCTTGGCAGCAATGGATGTACTTGTGCTGGGTGAGGGTGAGGTGGTGAGTGTGGAACAAGTGGATGAGGATGAGGATGACTTGACATCTTTCACCATGGAGAGGATGTGTCTGCTGCTCTGACACTGTTCCATCCATTCACGAATTCCATCTCTTAGACAGAAGTCTGCTAGTTTCTTTGGCCCATGTGTCATGATTGTCAAAGTGTCAGTCAAAGTTTCTGTGTTCAATCTTGTTCGATGATTTGTCTTGACAAGGTTCATATTTGAAAAAAGCCTTTCACAAACTGCGGTTCCGGGACTCATGACAAACATCAACTCAATAACCTTGAGAACATGCACAAATCTTTCAGGGTTGTCAGCCAGTAACTTTGAGCATGTTTCAAGCACAGGACATTTGCATGATTTTCAGGTGCCCTTTGAGTTATGTGAATTCACGCAAGATGTGTGTCTTTTCATCAGGAAACAGCAAGGCAAAGTGATCTACCAGTTCAGATAGGTCTGTGTTTCCATACAAAGTCAGTGCTGCTCTGTCAGAGGACCAATCAGCATAGTCGAACACACTGAAACATTTCTGTGGTTTCTGGCTGAAACATGCAAATCTCTTGTCTTGGTACTTCATCATACCATCAAGCAATGAGTTCAGGAAGACATCTTCCTTGAAGAAGATGGGAGTACAATTGTCTCTGAGTTTGATACCATCATAGGTACCTGTCTTGTGGTTGTACTTGCCAGAGAAATTCCTCATGTGTTCACCAACTAGGAAAGGTTCAATCTTGAGATTCATGGGCTTCAGTATGAGTCCTTCAAGGGCTCCACTAACCTCAATAATGAGCAAATCCTCTGTCTGGAACAGAAGTGACGCCTCAGTAAGGATTGGGAGAATGTCAAGAAGTACACTCATAACCTTTATGAAGGAAGAGGTCAGCATTCTCTTCAGCCATCCTTTAACAAATAGAAAGGTTACAGCGCCCTGGACTAAACCGGTGCAGTAGGCTGAAACACGGTCTGAAGATGTGCACTGGAGCGCCGATCCATAAGAGAGTTGCGCACTGGAGCAAAGTGGCACTCTGGACACAAGTGGTACACTAGTTGAAAACATGGGATCTAATGAAATTAGCGCACTAGAACAAAGCACTGAAGTGAACTGAAGCAGCGCTCTGGTGTGTATTGACAAATCAATGAAAACCGTATGTCCACTCTGAAGCGCCGAGCTGAGTGAAAGCGGCGCATTGGAGTGAACACTCGGTCCGTACACTGGTAGAAACTGTAGAGCTGGGTATCATTGCTGAAGATGGAGGGATTGTCGAAAACAATTTCTTAGTGGAAATAGTCAGATAGGTAGGTACGTAAGTTAATTGCCCAGGGAACAAACAAAGCCATATTGTCAGTAGTTGTAGACATTGCCATAACAGGTGCTTGGGAAATAGTGACTATCGCTGTCGGCCTGGACTGAGACAGTGGGGTATGAAGTACCACCACCCGAGGCGCAAATTCTCGCTTAGACATGAGTACGAGGCAGCATCAATCTTCGTCTGGCGATGGCGAGGAACGACGAGCTGCCTTTTTGCAGGGACGATATTTCTTGGAGTGTTTGGACAACGATGGACCATCTGAAAGACGCCTATGGTCCCTGTCTGCCACTCATCTTGAACCAACCCGACGATAAGAAGAAAATGCTTCATCATCGAGATTGGAGCAATATGAGCAATGGCGTGGCACTCACACCTTCCAATGCAGTCTACACAAAGAGTATGCGGGTCAGCGGCAGAAAAGTTACTTCTGCATTTATCACAGTGTTTTCTCTTCCTCGTAGAAAGATTACTTTTCCCCATGATGAATCAATAGAGATGAGTGGCAGACAGAGCGAACAACACACTTCCACATATGTAAGTGACAAGTAAGAGAATGACAGTAGTGGGATGTCATGTGACCATCTGAGCACTTAGCACGCTTTACAGAGATGATTGACAGGTCCAGCTATAGGAGCAGGAGAGCAGTCGGGTGGGAGAGAGGCCAGAAGATTTGATTTCATTCAACTTAGCCTATGCCTTGGTCGAAGTAGAGAGAGAAGTCCATACTGTGAGATAGGACAAGTTTAAAAATTGAGCAAATTATACTTGTAATGTACCTTGATTGTGATGTATAATTTGTAAAATATTCACACATGCTGGAATAACAAACGTGAAAAATGTACTTAAATCTAAAAGGTTCTCACTTTTAAAGGACAATGAAGGTGATACCCTTCTTGGTTCTGTCATCAGATGGTTCAGACTTCCAGCAATTATTCGATGTTTTTTTATTCATTTCTCAGAATCCACCTTATGCTTAGTTACACTTTTTGACAACATCCAAAACACAATTCTAAATGTGCTTGTGTTTTCAAAATTTGAGTTATCCATTAAGGTACAGGGCCCTTATTCTCGAAACGTTCGTAGCCCTAAGAATTCTTAACTTTGATCGTAGCCAATGTGTTAAGAATGGGCTTAAGAAGTTCGTAGGGCTACGAACGTTTCGAGAATAGCTAGCCTGGTCATTTGTTTTGAGAAGGGGCAAAATTTAATAAATGGTAAAGATTGGGATGGAGTTCCCGAACTAACTGTATTCTTAGAAATAAAATATGTAAGCAATATGACAATTTACTGTGCATTTTTGAGACTCATCATACATTACTGGAGAAGGGCATATGATAATCTCTTTTCATGAAATTAGAGGTCTTTGTGTGATTGAATAATGACCTAAAGGTGTAGAAACTATAAACCGGAAGTTATTCCCTGTAAATGAGTGTAATATTTTGTTGAGCTTACTATCAAGGAGTTGTTAATTCGATAATAATGTTTCAAATCCTTTCGGGAAATGATCCATGGCCATAGCATTTCCCCTTTCCATTGCATCCCGAAGCGTCATTAGCTATGAGGATAGATTGTTTACATGAACGTAAACTGAAGCACTTATCCCAGGTAGCATGCCATCATCGGCCCGACGTCGGCTGATAGTCGGCACCGTCGGCTAATATTGGCATCGTTTAACAGCGCTGGGCCGACAGCGGTCCAATGTAACCCAGATAACACATAAGATTTTCCAAACATATTTTCGTCAAAACACAGTCACAATCTTAAAACAAGTCTCTCAACTATTTTAAAGCATTTCTTATACAAATGTGTTTTATTAAAAGTTGTTCATGAAGAAATAAATGTTACCGCGGGAAAGGACGTCGGAATGACGTCACACGTTCACGTCATATTTTCGCACCCGCCATCTTAGTAGAAGTTTATTGAGGACGGTACAACAATGTCATTTTCAATCTAGGAAGCGTATGCACAGCTCACAAGCCAGTGACACTTATCGTCATTAATTTTGTTCCCTGTTATTTCTGAAATATATATTTATTAATTTAACATTACAACTTACTATCACTATTTTAAGCTATGAAAAGTTCGCTCACTTCAGTCAGTGGGAAAGTTGCATCAAACTTATAACACGAAAATGGGGAATCAAAAGTATTCAAATACTTTCTGGTCGACCTGACTGTGGGCTATTAGTTACTGTCATAGTCTAAGTATGTTATTTAAAATGAATGTTCAGTCAGAAATGACCAAAGCATACTTGGTAAATTACGTAACACTGACTAAACTAAATCCTGATCATCCATGTGGTTGTTGTGGTTTTGCTTGTCTAACATTCGATCCACGTTATTTTCAGTAAAAGGCTAGATCTATGTTATCTAAGTATAGTGTTTACATTGTGTATTGTTCAATTTTCCCCAAACTAATCAATTTATCATTTTCGGATATGTATATTTCTCTTCTAAACGAGAGCCAGAAATAAACATGTTTCCCGCGCTATAACGGGGTGTTGGCGATGACTGGTCCTCGGCAATGTTCATTCGGTTTTCGATCACCATATTTTTTCATGATACAGTATTAATTCTTCAAATTTACTTAGTCTTTGTTCAGGAAATGTAGACCAAATAAATTTCTTATGGTTTACTTGGTTCACCGAAAAATTTTGCTAGTTATGCATGTTACATGCATGTTACCCATACACCTGTTATCAAAATTCACTTTCCTTTTACACAATGGTGGTTTGTCGTTTTGTAATATCAGTTTTTTCGACTTGGTATCTGTTCTTTTGCCCGTTAGTTTAATATTGCAGTGCCTATAAAGTGACGACGTTGGGCCGATGCAGTGCCAATAAAGTATGCCGATGTAGGGCCGATGCAGGGCCGATACAGGGCCATTGAAGTTTGCCAACGTTGGGCCGACATCTATACGATGAGCAAAACTTCATCGGCCCAATGTCAGGCCGATGATGGCATGCTACCTGGGTATGTTCTCGTCAAGGCAATGCTATGCTGAACACAGATTGCAGTGTAAACTAAACCTATGTTCTATCAGCTATTACGACAAAATTACTGCTCTGTGTAATGTGACATAATTTGAGGTATTTGGTTTTACGAGTTAACAAAGCAACAGCTCAATAAGAAATTCTTAGAAACGGCAATATCGATATCACAATTACTGTTCTGTTAGCATTATTTTTCGCCCAGACATGCTATTTCTTCATGTTTTGAACACAGTCTTCAGTCAGGGCAACTTCTAGCTTCAGTAATTCATAATATAAGAATTACAGATTAAAAAGTTGGTATAATGTCAATTTTAGTTCAGGCTTGGTCGATAGGGCTATATTCCAGCACCAGAGTGACAACTACTGATACCTAATAACTACCTGATAGTGCTCCAGGCAGGCAATGGGGTGCAACTCCAGGAATGTTCCCCATTCGAGGAACTACAAGAGGCAAAGGCAGCCATCCATTCAAACTCGCCAAGTGCATTTCAAACAATCAGCAGCAGAAACTCAAACTTGAGACCAGACATAGTCAATAAGACGATGTTTTATTACATATATATGATGTTCATTTAAACAAATCTGTCTGTATTGTACTAGTGGTCTCTTTTTCTACCTGGCTAAGGTACCCTGAACAGTAAGGGAATATAGTAGTTAACACCATTTGTGGCAATCTAAACAATTACAAACAGGTTTAAGATTTGGCTTGTAACCCTTATGCCATGCATCCTGCTTGCACTATACACAAAAAAAATGATGACCACAATTCAAGTTTAATAAACTATATAGGGTGACACTCTTATGAGGGGTGAAACATATCAACAAAACAAGTTCATTTTGTCACTCATACTGATTCCTACTCACGCAATTACATGTACATCGTTTATACTCACTTGTTCTTCACAAGGTACTTGTTGAGAGGTCCAAGAGGTGCAAGCTCAAGAACCAGCATTATATTCTCAGCTTCACACAGTCCTTAAAACAGACAATATATAGGATCAGAAAAATATCTGAAAATACATCTTTGCAATAATATTGGTTAAAAGATCTTGCAAAAGGATTAGGATACTAATACGACATCACTTACAACCATATAAGTAGATTACTGAGTGTCATATATTATATTCATGGAATATCATCAAAAAATGAAAGCTAGGTGCAGATGAAAGAAACTTATACCTGTAATCATTATCCTGTGCACATTTCAAGTTTGATCCCAGAATTTTAAGAGAAGGAGCTATCTCAATTTATCAAGTACCACCCACTAGTTTTATGTAAGGATGTTGTTTCTAATGCTTTGAGAACCATATTCCATGTATTAAAATGGTAACTGTAACATATACTCACAGGCAAAAGTTAGTGTGATCAACACATTTGTACATATGAATGAGAAAATGTTTATGACACATTTTAATATTCGATACAATACATGTAATCCATGACCCAAACAGGACCCTGTCGGTAGTTTTTGTTTTACATGCGTTCTTTCGTGCTTTCAAGAAGTCCTAGGAAAAAAGGCATAAAACATGCCCCTTAGAAAGTGTGGCTCTAAACCTCGGATCATTGTCACCCAAATTATTGTTTAGATGTCGAGGGGTCCGAAAAACACAAATTTGGAAGAATCTGCTTGCATTTCTCTATGCCAAGACTAACTGAAAATGAAAGATGGCGAGCCACTGGAATGCTTGAAACTGGAATACGCCAGCGCAACAGTGCACAGAAGTTTAATGTGCACAGGAACACCATATGCTGCCTTTGGAGACACTATCAACAAAACGCCATCGTTATCAACAGAATGTCCCCAAAGTGGCATCCAAAACGGCTTTAAAGCAGCAGGCAAAACTTCCTCAATGACAAGGAGGATGCCTAGCTCCCCTGAATCTGACTGAATGCCAAGAAGTACAGAAGTACATCCATGCAGGACCTCTCACTTTCATTGGACACCCATGCAGGAGTACAGGGACACAGTTTCTTCGCAAATTGCCTAGCCTTTCTTTATACATCTCAAAATCTGTAGGCCAAGATTGCTGGCAGAGGTCACAATGAGAGGCAAGGGAACATGGCATAGCAGCATATTCCCAGGGATCTTGTGGAGACATTTAATTACAATTTGTACAAATTATTAGAACCCAAAGGGAAGGGCCGAGATATAATTGCTGCCCTTGGATTTACTCATATTCAGAAAGTTTGAATAATGTTATCAGAGAACAAGTAAACACATCCATTCAGGTGTGCCAAAACTTATGAGATTCACCCGCTTACGTCAGGGGAGATAAGTCCTGCAGATAGGTCAGGGGAAGAGTGAGTGAGTTGGGTTTTACGTCGCCTTTTTTGCAATATTCCAGCAATATCACGGCGGGGGACACCAGAAATTGGCTTCACACATCGTACCCATGTGGGGAATCAAAACCCGGTGTAACTGGCCAAACTTGCCCCCTGCCAAGGCCAAACTTTCCCCACCCTTGAATCAACTTTAAAGGCTACTTGTTTCTCATCCTTGTTCTGACTGCCTCCGTGGTGTAGTGGTTAGAGCGTCCGCCCGGAGAGCGGAAGGTCGCGAGTTCGATCCCCGACCGCGTCATACCAAAAGACGTTAAAATATGGTACTTGTTGGTCCCTGCCTGGCGTTCGGCATTAATGGGTGCAACAAGGACTGGTCGGCTCGGAGTCAGTATAATGTGTCTGAGTGGGGTATTCATGCTCCACTGCGGCATGGTATCTCAGTGGGCTAGCACTATAAAACCAGCTTCAGTCTGGGCTAGTACAAGCAGCCGCACATACACACACACACGCATGCACATCGTCATATGAGCGAAATATTCTCAAGCACGACGTAAAACCCAATTTCACCTCACCTCACCTCACCTCATCCTTGTTCTTATATCAAAAGGGGGGAGATTCTGGCCTAGCTAGGATATTTCTTCCCAACCTTGTTTTCATGTTTGTGTATATCTTGAAAAAGTCAGAAACAAAAACAAGACATAGCTATTCACGTGAACACATTGATAAGATATTTATGTTGATGTCAAGTTCCATTAACAATTTACAGGTCATCTTCATCTTCATATATAACATGTACATGGTTCCCATTTTGTTTCAATACCCTTCTTTCAGGTGAGATTAAAAGAAAAGCATACATAAAAGCAAAGATATTATATCATTACTATTGTTTTATATTATCATTTACTTATTTTTATATTTCAATAATTTACTTATCCCCACTTACTCAAAATTGGCTAATGTCAAAATCATTGCTATATTTTCAAAACTTTAACCAAATACCTAGTTTTTACTGTGATGTCCATATCAATTCAAAATTTTATTCCCTCACTCATGGCTTTAAATATGGCATCCATGTCGGAGACATCAACTTAACCGTTGGAAGCAGATGTAAACATCAACACAACAACAACCCAACACAATATCTATCAATGCTGTATCATCTATCATTCCACTATAGTGCCGTATTCTATATTCAAAAGACAAGGTTTGATAAGGGGTATACTTGGCCCATGGATATCTGAAACATATTTCATTCACCCAAAGTGATTATGGATTAGTAAACAAGCGTATGTGAATAATGTTCCTTTACATTTATACATAAATACAACAAATATTAGATAATAAACAGCATGATAAGAGAGCAAGCAACCTGTGTATATTACGTCTTATTTACCCATCAAATGTGCGACTGAATGTTTACATCTTATGGTGGACAGATGAAGAACTAATGCAGTGTGTCTTCATAGGAATGGCAGCAGGAGCAGGATGGATTTAGAGATATATGCCGTTCAAACATGTATGCATTCAAATCACTACACCAAAGTCAGAGGCAAAAAGGTGTACCAAAATTTAAGTCAAACCTACTGTCGGTTTATAAGAGCAAGGGTGGGGAAGAAGTAGCCTGGCTAGGCCAGAATCACCCCTTTTGATATAAGAGCAAGGGTGGGGAACAAGTGGCCTAGCTAGGCCAGAATCTCCCCACTTTTCATAGAAAACAGAACAAAATATCCTAGTTAAGCCTAGCCCAAACTTTCCCCGGGGTAAAAATATCCTAGGACAAAACCTCCCCAGGGTAAGTTTGGCCTAGGCCAGATTCTCCCCGGGGAATGTTTACACCGGAAAGTTTACACCGGGCCTTCGACATGACGAGCGAACGCTTTAACCACTAAGCTACCCCACAGCCCCAGTCAGGGGAAGACCACAAGGAAGAAGACAATAGAGCAAATTTGTTTTATTCAACCTAAACCTGTGGATCAGAAACAAGTTTTAAGAAATAAGGCAATCAAGTGTTTGAGGGTCTTATTCGTAAAAATTACGTGAATATCAACCATGTCCGAAAGTAAGGTCACCATGACTACGCCACCGATTATCAGAGGTCCAGATAAGCTGCGTATCCGGGTAAAATACGCATATAAAATTTCCAATTACGCATTGAAAAATAATTGTTGCGTACCAATTACGCATTTAAAATGATAAATACGCAAAAAGTTTAAAACAAATGCGTACGGAATATATTTATAAAAATCGCTTGCATAATGACATCGCTTGCTATCAAGTTGTACTGTTAGTATAGGACAAGTGTTGTACTGTCAGTATAGAATGAGTGATTTTTTATGAAATCATTTCCATTATATTTAAGTTGGTTTTGAATAGGTATGACATAAGGCAGAACATACCTGCTTAGTAAACTTACTCAATGACATAATACTTAGGTGAGTAAAATGACTGAAATACGCACATATTTGAAAGCAGTGGGTAACGGAAAATGATATACCCACTCAACATTCATAATACCCACTCCAAAAAAATACCGTGGGTACAGTACCCACATGAGCTAAATCTTATCTGGAGCTCTGGATTTTATTGTCACACAGCTCTCAAATAATGATTGTTGTAATGGTATGTACCACTGCTGATGACTAAATCAGTACCTAGAGTCTACCAACCCAACTTTTGGAACACCCCTCTTGTCAAATATCTTCCAAATAACAACACTAACGCATATCTTAATGATCCCCTCAATTCTAGTGGTTTACATGCAATCTGGATAATTTTAGATATAGCATTAAATTTAGCAAAGTAGCCAGAGTCTATTAGTGTTCTCATGTGGTACAGTCATGTATCTGGACAGATCTAATCTGCTGACTATTCTGTGCATTTGAGTAGATATGTCGAGGCTTGTAACTCGATCTGTGACCAGCTGGTTCCACTGAGGCTTGCTGAGAGGATTACAGGCATGAAAGTAGTCCCTGACCTCCGTTTCAAGACTGTGTTTTTGTACAAGTCTGAACATGTTGAAAGCGGGTGAGTAGAGGCATCGTTTATCATCAGCGGGGTCACATTTATACATTCTCATCCCAGGGTCACATTTATACTGACCAAATCGACCAATGAAGACACGTTTGAAGTAGTATTTATGACTCACCCTGCAGAACTTGCCCATGAATAGGAGTGATTGACTCTCAATATAAGATTGTATTGTGGAAAGCTGTAGGCTGTCCAGGGCAATATGAGAAGGACTATGCTTAGGTAAACCTTGTACCTTTTTGCTAAAGTATCTTTGGGGTACTTCTAACATGTCATATTCTCTCAGAGAGAGTTGTCCCCATGTGTTGGAACCAAAGAGAGCACAAGGTAGTATACATTGTAAAGGTACCTAGTAAACCAAACAGCTTTCGGGTTAGGTCAGAGCGCAATTATTGCTATTATTCTGTAATGCTTGTGAGACGTTCCCTTGATAAAGACATGTGAACCTGAAGCCCATTGTGAGCCGAGGTCATGCACATGAATTGCATGCTGACCTAACCCGTAAGCTGTTACATTTAATGCGACTACATCCCATCTCTTGATATAAAAACAAACAGAAATTTTAATGATAGTTACTTTTTCCCAAAGTGACCAGCAAAGTTAAAACTATTTTTTCTTATTATGTCAAAGGGGATCATAAAGATATACATTAATGGCATGTGGTT